TATATATATAAAACAAACATTTCATCTGTACATTGACATGTTCACTATTACATACCACACTCTGAAACTAAAACAGAAAGGTTAGAGAAGAACTTTGTGCTTCTTAACAATTAATATCGAACCGTGTCCTTTAAGTATCGAACCAAACTGCATCATGACTTTTCCGTATTGTTGCACCCGTACTATTCACCCTAAAAACGTTGTTTCCTCAGTCAAAAGTTAGAAACAAAGTAAATATGACCACCTTTTTGATTTTATTTTGTTAAGATAAGATAAGACTTTATTGATCCCACAGTGGGGAAATTTGCACATTACTGCAGCTCAATACAGGAGAAGGGTGAGAAGAATAAAGATAAATAAAAGAAAAAAAACACTATTAAACCGATTAAACATAAAAATATTGTTTAAAAACATCATATTTGTGCAGAAACTGAGTATTTTTAACTGTCTAAAATGTTTCTGTTGTGTTGTTTAACATCTTACTTTTCATTTTTTATTTCACTGATTCTGTCTGGTGACAGTTTGAGATAGACACGCAGAGCACAGTGGAAGGCAGAGTACGTTGGGAGAGGATCTGAAATTTGTTAAAACATCCTAGCTAACAATGTTCCGATCGGAACATGTCTCCTCACGAGCAGAATTTGCTCGTCTTTGAGGAGGGAGGAATAAAACTCTAACAGGGATGCTGACCTTTAGTGCTCTGCCAGAGATGGATCGGAGTGAAGGTCAATGAGTTCAAGCTGAACATCATCGGGTGCATTACCCACAATGCATGTGAGCGGAAAGGAAATTGAGCGTTTTTCTCTCTCTCGGCTCTTTTGAAGTCTTCAGATTGACTTGAAAGCTCACCTTGCCGTGCCCCCAGCATCAATAAACACCTGTGAATGTGATCTACTGATGGTTTGGCTTCTTTCACAGGGAGAATGTTACCCTCTAATTAGCTTGAAATAAACCACAACTTTCTGGAAAAAGCCTTCACCAATCTTTTCATTTCAGGTGGAAGAAGGCGATTGCTTTGTAATTTGGTATTTTGTTCATTCATTAGTAAAGTAAAAAAAAGAGAAAAAAAAAACAGCAAATAGACAAAGAAAATATTCCATTCAATTTGTGTCTAAAATCTCTCGGATGCTCTTGATTTTCTTCTCAACCCGCTGCTGTCATTCTGTAGTCTTTGTTCAGTCTGTGCTGCCTGACAGCTACATGTGCCATATCTCCATGTTTAGTCTCCAAAACATCAGCTAATTCTCTGCAATGCAGGGCTTTTTCATTGACTGAATTAACTATTTTAGATGCTACATTGTATTAATTTTAGGAAACAAAAGCTGGATGGACAAGTCTTCTTTCGTTGACATCTTTTAATTCATTTGTAAATAAAACGTTTCTGTGACGCTACAGTATATAGTCGTAAACTCCTCGATCAAACTAGACTGGGCCACTCTGGAAACTTGAGGGGGGTTGATACTCACATCACATGGCTATCGTTGACACCTAATTAACACTTATTGTTAACAGGGGTTGGAGTGATACTGCCAATGGCCGCGCTGTAGGAGGGGGACAATTGAAAACGGAGGCCTCCACCTCTGTTTAATGATGGACGTTACCAACCCCCCTCAATGTCCTGCATCAGGACATTGAGTGGGGTAGGTAACATTGGAAGTGCCACATTTGGATTTAAAGAGACAGCCTCAAAATGAGTTGATCTGAGACTCAACCTCAGAAAAGGGGTGAATGAGGGGCTTGTGGAGTTACAATAAGGAAGAATTCAGACCAAAGCATTGCAGTTCCACTTTATTTAGACTCCACCTGAAGGATTGAAATGTTAAAGTAGGATTTAAAAGCAGGGTATGTCTCGTTTAATGATAAACAGTTCTGTGTCACAAAAGTCACAATAGTTTTTCTTAGTCTTTGCTACTCAGTACATCAAACTCGTTCAGGGCACTACCTTACCATTGAGTGATTGATGCCGCTCCATTACTGCATTTACAAAAAATACAACAAAACAGGGCTGCTGCTTTTATCTACATTTAATTAAATTCAGGTTTTTTTACTTTGTACAAACCACTTCAATGCCTGTATTGCAGTTAAAAAACATTTGCTGTTTGAAATGCTAAGCATTTTTCTCTGAATATCTTGCTGACATTTTTTGACCAAATGAAATGACCAGATTATCAGCTGAGAGTCAGTCTGAGTGTATCTACTAATCTTCTGTGGCTTTATGTGCTGCCTTTGCTGACTTTTTAAACTGCTTTCCACTCTCTTGTTGATAATTTACATAAAATCAAATGCATGTCGCATCGACACAGACACAAAATCAGCAAGGAGCCCTATTCTCCGTTCTCGACATCCTGTATAGAAAACACAGCAATTTCCGCAACGAAATACAAGTTTATTTTACATCTTTAGAAATAAGCTCCTCAGCACCCCGTCCCCTCTGATGTTCTGCTGTGACAGCACATCTCCATCAGAAAAGCTGCCGCTGTGAAGAACTGAAGGACAAGCAGGGAAAGTATCTGTGAAAGAAGTCGAGGCTGAAGTATGTGTTTATTATCCAAAGATATTTTTGGTATTAATGTTTGAAACCTTTAAAAATTCTTCAGCTACTTAAGTGCTTCAAGTGGTTAGTTTGTCAGGAATGCATTAATGTCGTAGTTTTAGAAATTCTTGAAACATCAAGGGGAAAAAAAACAGTTTAAGTGCACTAACAACTCAGGTTTTGTTAGAAAATGTAAAATTAAAAACATTTTATTAGGTTGACCTTTTCACATCAACAGGACAAGAAACTGTTCAAACATGCATGCAAACATACTCAGTGGAGAGTAAATTTATTACATTGTGTTGTGTGGTTTTCACAGGATTGCAGGCCGGATCCTCAGTCTGTTTGTTCCAACTGGGGGGAATGTGTTTGTGCTTATATCTGTCAGGGTAATTTGTCCTCAAAAAAAACCCCAGATGTGTTGGATTTACTTAACCAAGAGGTTGGCCCTCATGTACTTTTGCGTACTTCATTCTGCAGACGTCCGCTCAGACTCTGGGCAGGCTCAATGTGGATTCGAAGTGGACATGTTCGTCCACGTCTGCCGTGTCGCGCAATAAACTGCCCGGCGAGTTCACATCCAACTGTTAAGGATGCGACACCAAACAGATACAGTTGAGAATCTGCATCATTTGTGGATGAAATGGAGTCAAATGAAGAGCGTCTCACGGAGGAGATTAGAAAACATAGAAACTTTATGATACATCAATGAAGGAAAGGGAGGAAATAGCTCACGCACTGGGTAAGGTAGGTTTTTCTCTTTTGTTTGAAAGCTAAAATGCAAACTATCTCTTCATACTCGTTTTTGACGCCATGACTAAAATTGCGAGAAATTAGGGAATTTGTCAGGCGATCAGAACGCTCGAGTATGAAGTCTCAAATGTCTGGACAATATGTCTGCGCGGCTCACGGACTATACACAGTACACCGGAGTATGTGGGGGCCTTAAGTGTAAAGCATCTTTCAGATTTCTTTTAAAAATATGTATGAAAGTGGCTTTACACTCATGGTGCGTTCACACCAAACACGATTTCAGCATCAGGAGCATCAGGTTTACATGCAAAGTCTATGGTGGACGTGCTTCAATCAGCGTCAGGAAGTGCTGCGGCGCCTCAAGCGCGATTAGAGCAGCGCGATTTGAACGATTTGAACGATCTGAACATTGAGGCGCAAATGGCTGAAGTTGGAAAATCTGAACTTTTGCAGCTCGACGTGCCACGTCAACCAATCACAGAGACTCCACTGTGTGACGTAGCAACATATTTCCCGACGGTACAGTTTACTGAATGATGTCCACTAACCTGAAACAGATGGAGAGGAGCTTTTTAGCTGAAATCGAGTGCCTGCAGTCAGTGTCCTGACAGGAGATATCCGCACCAATGCGTGGCAGTGACTCATCAGACTGGACTCGGGACAAAAATAGTCCTGAAAGCGAGCTGTGAGCCTCTCCCGCAGCTCCTGGGTGATGAAACTCAGAATGTCTCTGAATTATCTGGTGAATTAATTATGAATTAATTATCTGATGAACGTGACATGCTCTTGCTCTCTGTTAATAAAGCAAAGCCACTTCCTCGTCTGACATTAAACAGAGCCCGACAGAGGAGGGAGGGGCGGGGAGGCTCTTCCTGTGCGAGCGCTTCAAGAGCTGACCTGCATCTGACCTCAAAGTGCACAAGCGACCAACTTGAAGCGTTGGATGCAATTTTGAAACTGAAATCGCATTCGGTGGGAACGCAGCATTACTCAACTCAGTTCATTGGGAATTGTTAACATAACTTAGTTAAGTAAATCCAACAATCAGTTTTTTGAGTGTAGTTGAGCATTTTTTGCAAAACAAATGTTTTGAACATTTTGAAACTATGGTTAAATTCTTAGACGGACAAAAAACAGGGAATCCAGCAACAGAGGCACCTCTTAGCAACAGTAAGAAGCTGTCCACGCTGGAAGAATTTATTGTATTAAAAGTTATCAATCAGGTGTAAGTTTCTCTTAAAATACAGTTTTTTTTTTTAATAACTAAACTACCCTTTTCGTTCCCTGTTCCAGATCCAACATCAGACCAGAAAAGGCCAATCACAACTCCCACCAGTTCAAGATGCACACGTTTGAAAGAATCACATCCTGTAGCTATTGTCACCTCCTGCTCAGGTAAGATTCAGGCAGCTTGCTAGTTCTGATTTATTCAGAATAACTGCGCACACCTGACGGTGTACCAGCAAGGCACAAATGCTGCCCTTAGGGTAAACTTGAACTGTTATTACACCTGTTCTTGAATGGTAAACTGATTACATTCCAAGATAAATACACTTTTAGTATTTTTCACAATGAAGCAAAGGAAGAAAAGAAAAGAACACAATGACATTTTATAGTTCAGCCCGCAGTCACTTTTCGTCAAGCACTTCAATGAGGGAAAGAAACAAGTCCTTAACCTGACTGTAAAAAACTTATTGAGTTTGGATGAAAGTAAATATCTAATATTCTGTCATACAGGCTGTTAGCTGTCCCTGTTTTGAGCTCACAGTGCAGGTTTTATGGCCTCTAAAAACTTGAAGGACGTTTCCCCGTGTCGTTTCACTTATCTTGACAATGTGACAGGAGCCAGAGAATTCTAAATGTCAAGGTGTTTCTTTTCTGGTCGCTGTTGTACAGGAAATATATCCAGTATTTTACTGTCTCCAGGGGCATCTTTAACCAGGGTTATCTCTGTCTAAAATGTGGCCTGGGGGCTCATAAGGAGTGTCTGGGTCGGCTCGGAGTCTGCGGGAGGACAGGTGAGGAAGAGAGCCTCTGAACACTTTTCAGTGACCTTTGGACCTCAGTGTACTTACACACACTAAATACTGAAAACTGTCATATTCACAATAAAATTACAAATTTACCATCTTTCACTCTCCTTAGAGGAAAATACCTTTATTTTTTTGTCGTTTTTACAAGTAATAGTTTCTAAATCGCTCTTGATTTATATCTAACTGCAGGTATGCTGACAAAGTTTTACTTTAATTGTCAAGATCTTCAAGTTTAAACACACAAAGAGGATAAACTTAATCTTTACCCACCTTTTGCTACTCATTCATTTGATTTTTAGTGAACAGCTGCTCAAATTACTAGTGATTATTTTTGAAATATTGATACTACCAGTACCAGAACTTTATGCTATACTATCAATAATAAAATCTAATTTTCAAAACTTTGATACTTCAGTCACTTGAAGTAATGTTTATCATTAAATGGAACACAGTGGAAAGTAACTAAACTATTAAAATGATCACTAAATCATGTGCGGTCGGAGGGAACTCAGTCTGTACATGTTACACGTTCAGCATGTTCATGTTATGTAATTTAAGACTCAAGTTTAAATTTTTATTGTAGTTCTTAATAATCAAACAATAATTTATTTCAATGGTTTTATTATTTGAATAGTTTTTTATTGTTGAAAACACACTTTTTACATATATTTTGCATTTTTTCTGTTGCATTAGCTCAGCTGTGTTGAAAATTTGAATGCTACATCAATATTTTTCTGAGTTTAAAGTGAAAAAAAAAACTGTCTTATTCTTTATGAAGCAGGGATTTGACTTACACTAGTTTCTTTTGATTTACAAAACACATTTACACAAAGTATCTGTATCAGATTAGCATCACTGATACCAGCCCGAGTTTTACTTTGTATCAGATTTCGGAAAGGAAATCTGTGGTATTGAACATCACAAGTTACTGTATTAAGAATATGGTGAATAAATCATGATATGTCTGATTTTTTAGCTGTTTAATAGTTGTATAAAAATGTGGGCTGCAGTATATGTTGAATTTTAATGCTGTGTCTAGCCTTGTGTCTGTGTCACCAGACTGGTGCTTCAGGTTCTTTACCCTCGCTGAATTTACTGACATCTCAAGCCAGCTTGGGCTTTTGACAAGCTTCCTTAGCGGGAGTGCTGTGGTTTTTATGCATTCAGAGGCCGCGATGCGGGCCAGCAGAGGTTGACAGTTGAGGTTGTATGTCTAGAAGCCACCACACTCTCATATTGTATTCCCCTCACTGTATCTGTTTCTCACCTGCCTGCAGATCCTGTCAAGCTGAGGCCCAAGGTAAGACCTGAACTCCTTCTCTTCTTTGACTCAGACATCTTAGCTAACGCAAGAGGCAGGGCATAAACCAGCAGCTGAACTCCAGCCAATTGGATCTGTTGCCAAAGAGAGATCAGAAAAGATTTCCTCATCAGAAGCGACAAAACATCACTAATGAAGTGGTTTTGTTACATTACTGAACATGTGCTAATTTTAATAGTCTGCATAAGAGGACAAAAAATGTCCTTCTAACCAAATTTAAAAATCTTATATCCAGCCAAAATATATATATTTTTGATGTCGTTTTGAGACTGATTTACTAAACAAGAAAAGAATGTAGATTATTTATCTTGTTAGCCTGGAAGTTTGACTCAGATTAAGTAAAAAAATTCTGCCAATGGAATAAGAAAATTTCACTTGGTAAGATTCTTGAAATAAGAAAAAATTGAGTCAAATCAAGTATTTCAAGAATTTTACAAAGTAAAATGTTCTTACTCCATTGGCAGGAGTTTTTTTCAATTAGAGTCCATTTTTAGGCTAAAAACATAAATAATCTTACATGTTCTGGTAAGATTTTTAATCTTACAAATTCAGTTCTTGTTTAGTAAATCAGTCTCAACACAAGATTAAAAAAATTGACTGGACTTTAAAACTTGGTTAGATGGGCATTTTTTCCAGTGCAATGCTAAAATTATTGGCTTTTTACAACTGTGCTAAAAGTGTTTTTGTTACTACATGCAAGTATTTTTTTCGTACAATTTTTTTGCTCATTCAAACTGAGTATTGCATCATTTGTGATAAAGCAAAAACAAAACAATATATATTTTTTGTCATTTATAGCCAGTTTCTTAATATATTTGTCTCAGTCTGAAACATTCACCTCTAATTGAAAGACTTTTCTTTGACAACTTTAATAAGGATGGAGCCAGAGCAGCAGCAGGACGTCTGTTTGGTCAGACTCCTGTCATCGTGTACCAGCTGGCAAATCACAAGTCCTGGTGTTATTCTGTGCTTTTTGAAAATCTTAAGTAGATGGAACACTCTTAATAAGTGTCAGAGTTGATGAGAAATTATAATTGAACACACAGAAGAAAGTCCTGGGGTACTTCCTGCGCAGTGTTCATACCAGAAATCACCAATCAGTTCGTAAAGGAGGCCTTGAAATTGTTAACGAGCAGAACGTGTCATTTGACTTGACTTTAAAAGTGACATACCAGCTAATTTACTGATCAAATCAGGCTGGATCTGGTTTTAAATTCTCATTAAAGTAGTCAGAAGATAGAAAAAAATAATATTCCCACAAAACTCCTTACTACAGCTTCTTTTTAAGACAGCTATTCCTAACATCTGAAGAATAATACCCATCGAGATGATTGTATGACTCATTTTTCAGGTCAGCTTGCTCCTGCACACAAGCCAAGAACCTCTAACTCTATATTTATCAGCGTCTCCACAATGTTTCCATTATTTTCATACCTTTCTTTTTCTCTCTCCTCATTTTTTTTTTACTTTCTCTCTGTATTCACAGGACAACACAACACCACAAGACTCAGGTCAGTATGGTTTGACCACTTGAGCACTTTTTTTTAACCTGCAGAGTGTTTTGAGAGGTATTCTTTGTTCTGCTGCAACACACAGTCCAAGCACAAACAAAATGGAGATGCGGTTATTCTGAACAAAAATGTTCTTTTCAGCAGGGTTAAACCTAAGCTTCCTGTAGTATACAGGGGTGCAATGATACAGACAATTCACGATTTGGTTTGATTTGATACTGTAGTCCCTTGATTTGATACAATAAAGAGAAAATGTCCATGCCTTTCTTAACTTGTAATTGATTTAAATAAATTATGAACATTTGTTTAACCTCAAAAGTTCAGTTTTTAAACTAAATGTTGCTGAAACAGCAGGTTTCTCAGTGGACCTGCGCTCAACAATGCAGGCTAGGTGGAGTAGTCGAACCCAGATCCAATGAACCTTGAACACAGAGCATCTTCAGAAGACAAGCTGATAAAATAAAAATTTAAAATCTGTATTGTTCGATATGGTGTGTGTTGAACCTAAAGCACTGTATTAAATGATTCGATACAGATACTTGTATTGTTGCACCCCTTATATTTATATAGAAAAAGGCTTTTTAACATTCACATTTTGAATTAATGCTCATTAACTTCACCTCATCGGTGTCATTCATTTTTTTTCTTCAAGACTGAAGAAAAAAGTTATAGTTCTCGTTTAAAAATATTATGTATATGTATATCTATGTGTGTGTG